CAATTGTTAGACAACCTATACGCTGATACCACTGATGAGTTTTACATGTAATAATGCGGAAAATATCTTAATCTCTTAAGGGTACATGCAACCTAGTTTTGGATCAATGTCATAACTCTATTGAAGCAACATACAATTGAACAACAAAACTTAACCCTAGTTGAAATCAAAATTCATAAGGTTAATTGCATACCTCTGATTTGTATTGTAAACAAATCCTTTGAACAATCCAATAGCTTCTTGAAAACTAGCTTCAATTGTGTGCAAGCCTCTAATGGTTCACACCCACAACACAAGAACCCTATAAGATTTAGGAGAGAGGGGAAAGGTATCAAATTTTCGACCTTTGCATCTTAGAATGTCATCGTCGATAATTGAAAGTCCAAGGGTCTATTTATAGCTGATTAGGAAACACCTAAAAACCCTGATGTGAACATAAAATAAAATTATTTCAAATAAGGTAATTATCTGGTTTCTAGTTTATCCTCATGAAGACTTCCAGAAGGCTCCAAGAGAGCTTCCAAAACCGTCAACAGCAGGAGGGTTCAAGAACATGTCATCTGTTCAACTTTTGAACAATTACAGCTATAGTCCTTCAACTTTTAATTAATTCTAATTAACCCAGAATTAATACCTAATTAATTATGATTAATTCTAAATTAATTATAACTATTTATAATTAATATATTAGTCATATACTATATTAATAAATCATTTATCTCTCTCTAAAATCAATCTAAACAATTTTTTAGTTATGAAAGCAACCCAAAAATGATTTTACTTTTATTCATCAACATTATATCAATTTAGTTATGACCTTAGACACATTAATCCAACACTATGTATGTACACTCTTCAAGGAAAATCTGTTAAATGAACTCGTATTGTTTAAGAATGAACTCGCATTCTTTAAGAATGAACTCGTATTTTTCATTTCTATTTATTGGAAGAATTCTTAAATTTTTCAATATGATTTGTATACCATCATTTCTAAGATATCCAAAGAATTAGAGTTGACTTTGAAAATTAAATATTGTTTTTGAATTAAGATAAATATGTCCTCCTTAATTTTTTCAACTTTCGTACTTACTGACAATCAATCAAAATATAAATTATGCCCTTATAATTAGTATTTATGATTTTCTTTTATTAAAAGGAAATGATTATATGTATCATATTTAATTGTAACTATTGTACACCATCAAATCTTAGCCATATACAAATCTAATATAATGGTCCAGCACTTGTCATACATTCACACAATATATATCATTCACATTTAATCTATATATATATATATATATATATATATATATATATATATATATATATATATATATATATTAGGGTCTCTTTGGATGAAATGAAATGAAAATTAAAGGAATAATCAAAATAATGAAATAAATAAGGTAATGGAATGAGTTGTTCTCTCATGATCATGTTTGATGGCTTGTAGGAATATAAAAACACTTTTTTCTATTTAAATGCAAGGTAGGGTTCTAACGTTATTTCATATACTACTCAACTATATTTATAGAATTTATCTTTTGAAAACTAAAAAATTAGAAAAAAAAAATACACAATGAAAGCTCATTAAAAGTCATATAAGATTATAATAAGGAAATTTTAGTTAGTTTTCTATTTTAACTAAAATCACAAAACTCATAAATAATTGTCATTAAAATCTTTGTAATAAAAACGGGTTATAATATATTTTTTCATTATATCTATTCCATAATGAAAAAAAAAAAAAAAAAAAACCCCAATCCGAAAGAATAAAAATCAATAAAAACGGAAGGAATCAAATTCCTACAAAAGTCCATTTCATACTATACGACAAAACAAGTTATTTTTTTTATTTTATTTTACTTTTTTCAACGGAATTAACCATTTAATTCCTTCTACAATTCTATCTTACCACCAAATATCTCACTGGTAATTCTAGTATTAGAGGGCTTCTAGCCCAGCGGTACCAGGTGGTACCCTGGCTCTTTGAGGCTGATAATTGAAGTCCTGTGGTGGACATAAGTGGTATTAAGTGTTAGATTATGAATAGATTTATATATTTGTATTTGCCGGTTAAAAAAAATAATAATAATTCTAGCATTATCTCAAACTTATTCCAATAACCAAATATGTCTCATAAACCTTTAAATGCCTTTTTTTCCCATTCTTTTAATAACCGATTGTTTTTCATTATTCTAACAAAATTATTTCAATCTCATAAATATTTATTCTACCATCATTTCAAATCCATACAAATTGTTAAACATACTTCATAAAAATCTAATACCTATTTTAGGCATTTTTTTTCTATTGGCAAGTTAACCATTATGTCCGTATATTTGTATTTAACTCCATGATATATTAAACATGTATAAGGCCGGAGGGTGTGTAACGGTTTAGGGGGGTGTGGTTTCGGAACCGTTGCCGGATACACAACACCGCCACCGCGGTTTCCGGGTGAGGGGAGGCTTCTCTGCCTCCTCTCTCTTCATTTTATTGGTTAGATTTTTTTCTTTTTTCTTTTTTCATTTTCTTATTCCAATGGTTAACTTTAACATATATATTTTTTTGATTTCTCACAGATATAACAATTAATTTTTCATTTTTCTAATGAATTTATCATTATTTAAATACCAAACAAACCTAACATAATTTTCACACTTATTTCTATATATTCTTTAAAAAACTCACTCAAACACAATGTCGTCATCTTCGTCCTTCGATTCGATGGTTCAAAAAGAGACATTATTTGTTGGTTCCGTCATGACAAAAACAGTGGTGTATTTCTGAAACCGACAAGGTCAAAGTTTACGTTCACGACCTCAAACGAGAAACCCTCCGTTGTGGAGAAATCATGAAGTTGGGCACAATCGTCTTACATAAGACTATTTTGCAGATGACGTCGTGTACACTGAAAAATTTCAACGGTGGTTTGGGATGAGGAAATAGTTATTTTTATGTATTGTTAGGGATTTGGAAGACCATTTTCCATATTTCCAATAGAAGTGGGATGCGAGAAGAATTTTTTTTTCTCCAATTCAAAAATACACAGTCACAATTCGTCAGTTAGCATACGACATGAGAGCAGACAAATAGGACGAGTATTTGAGGATGTCTGAGCGTATCACACGAGATATTGCGTACAAGTTCGCGAAAGTTATTACTTTGGTTTACGAGCAATGATTATTGCACAAACCAACCATCAACGATGTCCACCAATTGTACAAGGTGCATGAAAGTAAGCATGAGTTTCCAGGAATGATAAGTAGTGTCGATTGCATGCACGGGTCTTGGGTATTGTGCCCCAACACATGGCGTGGTCAATATATGTGAGGCGATCATAGAGAGCCGATTATTGTTCTAGAAGCAATCACATCACATGCTCTTTGGATATGACATGCATTCTTTGGTCCAGCTGGTGCAAACAATGACATCAATGTTCTAGACCAATCGCATGTATTTATTGACATCTACCTTGGAAAGTCGCACGATGTACCGTTTGAAGCAAATGGGGTAGCATATAAGCGCGGATACTATCTTACTGACGAAATATATCCTACCTTATATGTTTTTGTGAAATCGTTCACATTTCCGAACGACGAAAAAAGAAAAAAGTTTAAGGAGGCACAAGAGTCAGCTATGAAGGACGTGGAGAGAATGTTTTGTGTACTCAAGAGGCGTTGGCAAGTACTACAAGTCGGGACACGTTCATATGAAGTGAAAAGGTTGCAACACATAATGTACACGTGCGTCATATTACATAATATAATTCTAGAAGATAAAGGAAGAGCGACATGCCGTTATGACGAAACGAAGTTTTACCAAACGTCGAAGAAGTAGTTGTTGGTACGCAATAATATAGGGAAAATAAAAGAGAAGTACATGATCGTGACATTCATCACACCCTTCATGTGGATTTGGTGGAACACATATAGAGGGTTGGCATATAGCCACAGGCAGAGTAGTGACATGATGATTTGTTTGATGAATCCGATGAAGATTCGGATATGTTCGTCAATGACTCGGGTGAGGATTCGGATGACGGTGTCGAGCACGATGCCGAGGACTCGGGCGAAGATTCGGAGTGACGTATTGTTTTTCAAATTCAGAAATTATGTAATTTTTAATTATGTTTTCTAGGTCGTTTTTTTTAAATCTAAGTTGTGTTTTTTTAATCTTCATTGTTTTCTAGGTTTTTTTTTTTTAATCTTGATTGTTTTTTATGTACCTTTTTTAAGTAATGAAATATTTTTACTTTAAATAATTATTAAGTTTATTAATATTTTTATGGAATTATATTTATTTTTTGATTGTATAAAGCTTAAATTCAAATTATTTTTATTTAAAAAAAATAAAAGTGAAAGGTAGTGAAAGATGACAATTTCTTGTCTTTTGGGAGTGAAAGCCTGAAATGTAAGTAAATAGAAAGATGAAGTGATACTCAAAAAGTGAGTGAAAGGTGAGTCCAAAGGTTCATTGGACCTTTTAAACCAAAATTTGTTTTGGAACTTTTTGACACTCCTCTCATTTATAACCAGGTATATAGAAAATTCCATAATCAATCTAAAAGTTTTACATAGACGTAGCGGGTAAACGAGCAATAAGCTGTGTCGCAACCCCTTTTTGAATGACAAAACTAATCTTTTTAAAAAACTAATTCTCATTTATGTATCCTACTTTCCCGAACCATGCATGTTTTCTTAAATTTTAGGATATTGTCTATGTAAACCTTAAGGATAGAGAAGAAATTTTTATATTTGATATGATAGTGATCAATATAATATGCGAAATATAACACTACCAGACTGGTACACTGACATATGATACGCTCGATCGTGTCCTATAAATATTGAGACTCTTTAGTCTTTATAATTCAACTTATCATCATCAAGGTGGAGCTTAACTCTATAGATACCATATCTCTAGAGACTATATTTACTCTACTTAGGGTCACTTTCTTGTATCAATGGTTAGAATTTAAAACATCTTTAATTCTCATCTTCTTTTTTTTTTTTATCACTTTTCGCCATTTGGTCCGATAAAGTTTCCAAAAATGGAAAGTGTTACATAACTTATAAGTATTCATCAATTTTTGTACAAACATGCTTCCAACCTCATATTAGCCCCATTTATAAGCTAAAATGTCCACTTATATAGTAAAACTAAAATATCCAAAAGAAACGGTCACTTTGATAATTTTAACCACTTAAGTAATTTGCCTTTTTTCTTGACCAAACTTAGACTTTTACTTTATTCCTGCATAACCATATATCATTAAATCATAATCCTAATACATGTATAAAACTAACCTCATTACAACAAGGAATTACTAGGAAAATACTTTGTAAACATACCATTAATCCTACATAGACTCAACCATGCCAACAGCATGCATCCAAGAAGCTTCTGTAGCCGAGATAATTTCAGATACCCTTGACTTTGACTTTGACTTTGACTTCTCTTCTTTGTAGCATACATTATCCAAAGTGTTATCTGTGTCCTTATGTTTGGTAACAGGAAGGGATAAACCAAGGCAAGCTTCGGGTGTTTTAGAACCTTTATAAGCTTTACAAATTAAGCTTATGATATCCACATAATCCTGTAAGTGAAAATAATCAAATATATATATATATATATATATATATATATATATATATATATATATATATTGCCATTTAAAATTAATCATAAAAATGAAAAGAATTTTAATCCAAAAATACTCACATCATAAAGCGGTTGTCCATCTAGCACGACCCATGGGACATAAGTATGAGGAGGTTCAAGCGCCTTTATTTCATCTGCATATTGTAGCTCAAGCTGCATCATAAATAATAAAATAATAAATTATGTCTCATGAATTCAATAAATAAATTTAATATTATATAAACAATAAGGCAATAAAATTTACCTCATGTCCAAAACCACTAGTGTAACAATCGAGAACAGGTTTTGGATCCACATTTACTTTCTGAAAGCATGTTTCCCAATTGGCATACTCCCCTTTATAAGTTAAATTTTCCACACAATACACAAAAGGAAAGTGGTCACTCTGCATCAACATTATAAAATTTATAAAATATATGAATGGTGGTTTATAAATTATAAGATTTCTCATGTTTTGTCAAGGGTTTATAAGACAGATAAAGAGTTTGAATCTTACAACAGCAGGCCAAGCATGAATTGCACATGCTTCTACAGTGTTAAGCACACATTCCCATGCACCATGCTGCAATATAAACATAGGAAAAAAAAAATATCATCTTAGTTATAAAAAAAGGGAGTTAGAAAGTTATGGAATTTCATTAATTGTTTATCTGATGAGATATAATGATAAATGATTAGTGGTTATGTTCAACAGTAGCCAATAAAGAATTTGAGTTTGTGTGGGGATGTTATTTTATTTGGTCCCTATAGTTTGAAAAGTATCAATTCAAACATGTTATATCTACGACTCTTTTTAAAGAGAATCAACCTGATAGTGAAAAAAATGGATTATTAAATTTATTATCTTTAGCAAGTATCCAAGCTCCTTAAAATCACAAAGATTCTGAAAAAGTTTATTATACCACTCTGTAAATATATACATCCCATTCATGGATACCAACACTTGACATGTATCATTTGTATGCTTTGTCTATGAATTATTTTTAGTTTACTTCAGGGTCTTACATATGATGTGATGCTTTAAGTTATGAGTAATAAAAGAGAAATTTACACTAGCTTTTGCTGAAAAGCTAGCTTTTAAAGTAAAAGCTAGCTTATGAATTAATAGTGTTTGGTAAAAAATTGATGATAAGCTAGACTGTAAATATAAAATGAGAGGACATTTAGATATATAACTAAAAACTAGCTAAGGACATATTTGGAATATATTTGAGAAAGTTCCATAAGCTTCTCAAAAGCTATTTCAATGCAGCTTATCAAAAGCGAAATAGCAGCTTATCAAAAGCTAGTTTATAAGTTGCAATAAAGCTATTTTTTTGGTTTCACCTAACAAGTTAACTTATTTTTACCAAATAGCCTTACTCTATACATTCAATTGTCATAATATATAGGCTTACTTGATTATTAACTTAGAAAACTAACATTTACTTTGTCAAAATCTAATTATCATTTGCAAGTAATACAAACTCATGTGATTTTAACTGAATAGAAATAAATTACACTAAGTTAGTATATTCAAAGTAATAATACCAAATATACCTTAAACACTTACCATCGAACAAAATACACATCAAATTTCGCTGATTATAAGAAAAATAAATCAAATCCCATCAAACAGTAACTATCAAACGAAGAAAATTTAGAAGAAAATTTAGATAAGACTTAAGAGGAAAAATCAATTTGAAGGGGGGTAAACAAACCTGGCAAACGATGGTATCATTGGAACGAATCTTAGCGTTTCCATAGGGACTAAGCTTGAGATCCACGATCGAAATCAGTCCGTTATCAAATAGTTTGTATAGATAGTTGACTATGAAATTTTCACAGAATGGACACAGAGCTTCGTAGTATAAAGTCAACTCCAGTTTTTCTTCGCTAGCGATGGCGATCGGGGACGACGCTGCAGATGCCGTAATGAGATTCGCCACTACGGAGACAAGTAAAAGAAGTAACAGAAGATTTGATCGGCGATTATTGCAATGATGAGCCTCCATTCTTAGCTACTCGCAGTGATCCGACTATCCAAGCACACTCCGGGATGATAACTTATAGTAGTTGAGCAGTCAATATTACCCTTAATTTTAGCATTTATTATATTATTGCCATTATGTATGTCACTCGTTTTAATGTTTTTGGCATTTGAGTGGATAGATGAAGCCTAAAACAAAAAAAAGGGTAAAATCGTCCAATTAGATAGTCCCGTGGATTGACCAAAAACAAAACAATGGCCAACCTTATCTTTACTATTTTTGCAGAGAATAATATATAGGGATGTTATTCGGGTCGGAACCGACCCGACCCGAACCCGAATAAACCGAAAACCGAATAAGGGTAATTGTATGAACCGAAAACCAAACCAAATAAGCAATACGGGTTCGGTTTGGTTCGGATATTATTCGGTTCGGTTCGGTTCCGGCCCGAATAACCCAAATAACATGTACAAGATGATTAAGGAGCCGAATAATCCGAATAACCCAAATAACATTTACAATGTGATTATAAATATTATATTTTGTATGACTTTTGTAGCTTATGATTTCATAACAAATCTTTTAAAGAAACAAATTAAACACCAAAAGAGTAATGTTGCAAGGATGAGAAAAACCTCAATCGATCAAAGAGTAATGTCGTTGACTCGTCGATTTGGTGTAATACGCTACTGTCGATTTGGTGTAATACGGATGATCAAATTCGATTTCGTTGATTTTTTTTGGTGTATTATGTGAGTTTTGTTGGGTAACGATCGATAGAAAAGAAGACCGAATAAGCAATCGTGTTAGGAAAAAAAATGCGACTTTTCATATTCGGTTCGGTCCTTTTGGACCGAATAAGCCCTTATTCGGGTAACCCGGACCGAATAACCCGAAAACCGAATAAGCCTTATATAGATACCCGAAAACCGAATCGAATTGCTTATTCGGGTCTAATTCAGTTCGGTTTTCGGTTCGGGTCGGGTTTTCGGGTCAAATTCTCATCCCTGATACATATTATCAAATTTTATAAAAGGATCTAAACGTTACCGCTTGCAGAGGGAACCAACTTTTATTTTTATTATTTTTTTAACTTGTTTAGTTATTAAATTTAATTTCATGCAAGTTCTGCTATTGGATTTATTGGTATTGATTAAACAAAATATGAATATAATCGGATATAATATGTTTTTGTAGGTTTCCAACGTCTTTTCCAGCCAAATATGAGTTTTCAAGCAATATGAATTTTTCGGTAATATTCTGCGGCCAAACATGAATTTTCCGGCAAGAAAACTCTAAATATGCTATCTAAAATAAGAACCCTAAATTTTCCGACATGATTTTTCCAGCACATGAGTTCATTCGGATCAAACAATCGATTCTTCAGATTTAACGGTGTTGAAATTGTGTTCATTTAGATCCAACACATAAGTTCATCCAAATCCAATAATCAAATTTTCAAATTTAGGGTTTTTAGGTTCAGAGGGTTTTTAGATTTAGGTTTTTCTAGAATTGACTGCAAAAATCATGTAAAAAATCATCTTTCTAGAATTGGTTGCGTGTACAACATCTTCAAAGTCTTTATGTAAAATTGACCTCTTGAAACATGTATTTTCGAAGAAAATTGATCATCATAAGTTCATAACAAGGGTTTGTGTTCTTGTTTGAATAAGCAAAATTGAATATGCGGTTTTCGATTTAGGTGTGCAAAATCGATTTAGGCATACACATATACATTTCTAGAATCAATGTAGGGTTTATGTTCTTGTTCCAGATTTGAATATAGGATTTCAAAACATGATTTCAGATTTCAGGAACATAGACCCCTTCATCTTGTAGTGCTTCTAGGAAAATGAGAAATCTGCAAATATATGGCCTTCAAGAACTCACCGATCTAGGGTTCATGTCTTTGTTCCATATTCGAATAGGGGATTTCAAGAACATGATTTCAAATTTCACAAACATAGACCCCTTTCATCCTGTAGTGCTTCTTTTGTAGTGCTTTTGGGAAAATGAGAAATCTGAAAAATATGTGGCCTTCAAGAACTCACCTCAAAATCCATGCTTAGCCAGAAAGACGCCATAAACCGGCAAAACACATTATACCCGCTCATATTGGTATATTTGTTTTTTGAACAATTTTAAAAAGTTCAATGGTATATATCAAACACAAAAATAAGTTTAATCCCAGGCTAAAATTTTCATTTCCAAAATAATAAAAACATCCACTTCAATGAAATTACATTCAGGGGAAACCGTTTGTTCATCAACCATCATTCAGAATTCAGAGTTAAAGAAAACAATGCAAAAATTCAAATCATAAATCTGCTGATGTGTGTACAATTGTAACGCCCCGTTCCTGGTATGCATTTAAAACATTATTTTTCTTCTTATTTTAGAAGCTACTCGACGAGTCAGTGGCCCTAACTCGTCGAGTAGCAGCGGGTCAGCACGTGGAGTTGGCGTGGCGACTCGACGAGTCCATATTCCGGACTCGGCGAGTCCGCCAGTCTGGATGAAGCCCTAATTTTCAGGGAGTGTACCCTATTTAAACACCATTATAGCCCCACACCAACCTCCTTCACCTCTCAGAGACTTATTCCCGAAATCCTAGCCTCCTTGAAGTGTGTGTGAGTGATCTTTGCCCTTGTGAAGGAATCTTGGTGCATTGTTGAGCAAGAAGAAGAAGGAGAAGGTAGAAGAACTCAAGGAAGAAGAAGTAGATCCAGATTATACTCCTCTTTGGCCATCCTTTCTGGTAATAAAGCTTTCATCTTGGTTATTGTATTGCTAGATCTAGTTTGTCCCCAAATTGATGGTTTTGAGCTCAAAAACCCCAAATCCCTAGTGATGAAGCTTTGTAATCAAGCCATATCTCGAATCTAGCCTCTCTTGAGTTCCAGGAGCTCAAGAAGGCCACCTTGTGGCAGCCATGGCTTTGTTCTAGACAAGTAACCCCCATAATAGCCAAGTTTGAGTGTTATTGCTTCATTGCATCATAGATACACGTAAAGTTAGCAACTTTACGTGTTCAGATAGTCCCAGAAACCCAGATCTATGAATTGGATGCACTAAAACTGATTAGAATCGACTGAATAGAAATTGCATGCAAAGGACTCGGCGAGTCGTTCTTATGACTCGGCGAGTCAGGTCGCGAGTCTTAGATGCCCTGTTCAGTAGTAGCGAGTTTGTTTAGTGAGTGGAGTAAAGACTCAGTGAGTTAAGACATGGATCTGAGTGTAGAGGGACTCGGCGAGTCTACACCCTGACTCGGCGAGTCCAAGGCAATCTCCTTACCCGTAAGAACAGACTCGACGAGTTGTTCATACAACTCGGCGAGTCACAGACTGGACGTGTTCTTATGTTGAAGGTGAACTCGACGAGTTGATGATACAACTCGGCGAGTCGGATGAAGGTTGGCAGGATATCAGTAAAGAAGGAGAACTCGTCGAGTTTTTATTAAACTCGACGAGTAGAGTTGGGAAGGGGAGTAGAAGGAAAGATAGGGACTCGACGAGTTGGCGGCCCAACTCAGCAAGTCAGGTCAACGGATTGTTGACTTTGACCAGGGGGTAAAATAGTCATTTTACCCTAAGATTAGTTATCAGTGTCTGATTAAGTGTCTTTTGGGAATTGTAGCCGGGGAGTTACCGGAGCAGCAGTCAGACAGTTCCCGAGCAGCATTTCAGCAGCGAGCCTTACGAGGTGAGTTTTCCTTCCAGTAGAAACGGGTCTACGACCACAATGCCGGCCCATTTAGTTAGCAGTAGTTCCGGACTACAGTCTGATGCAGTAGTTCAGTATGCTTGGTGTCTTTGTGATACATGCATGTTATGTGTTATGTGTTCCGGACTATGGTCCGATGCAGTATGCAGTATATGTGTTCATATTATATGCTATGATTATGTTATGCTATGTTCAGTCAGTTCCGGACTTCGGTCCGATGCAGTTCCGGACTTCGGTCCGATGCAGTGGGCAAGGCCCTAGTCAGTTCCGGACTTCGGTCCAATGCAGTTCCAGACTTCGGTCCGATGCAGTGGGCAAGGCCCTAGTCAGTTCCGGACTTCGGTCCGATGCAGTTCTGGACTTCGGTCTGATGCAGTGGGCAAGGCCCTAGTTAGTTCCGGACTTCGGTCCGATGCAGTGGGCAAGGCCCAGTATGTGCTTTATATGTTATTGTATGGTATGTGGTAGTTTGAGGGAGCTCACTAAGCTTCGTGCTTACAGTTTCAGTTTTGGTTTCAGGTACTTCAGCTAGCAAAAGGGAAAGGCTTGGGATGATGGCATGGCACACACCACAGTTTAGCCTGGGAGTTAGACTCTGATATTTTGATATGATCTTGACACTAGTTTCGATTTGATAAATTTATTATGACATTTTGAGATACACGATTCATGGTTTTTATCTTTTAAAATTTGATATTATGGTTTAGTAAAGTTTTCAAACAAAAAATTTTGGGTTGTATTTTTGGGATGTTACAAGTTGGTATCAGAGCCTTGGTTTGAGGGATTCGGGCGCACTCCCGAGTGTGTCTGAACTCAAACTAAGGAAGGGGTATAAAGTTTTCAAAAGAAAAGAGTTTTAGAAAAGCAAAAAGAAACTTAAAAAGAAAAGAGTTTTAGAAAAGCAAAAAAGAATTTTTAGAAAGAAAAGAACTTTGAAAAGAGAAAAAGGGTGTGGTGCATGCAATCAACCGAGCTTAAGTAAGTACTCCCAAATTATCCATACAAGTTTATGCTATGTTATGATTATCAGCTTTATTAGAACAACATGCTAGATTAGGACTAAGGATCTAGGAAGGATGCCTTATGTGCCTGTTATATGTGTTTAAGCTCTATGAAAACTGCATGCTAGTACAGAATTGTCAGTATGATAGACAGAGTAGTATATGCTTGATTATGTGTACTCGATGCTCGAATGTTGCTTGCTTTGTGCTTTTAGGAGTCTTAGTTATCTTTCACTAACTAGTAAATAAATATGTTATGTTACATATTGTGAGGATTAAATAATTTCAGAAGGTTAGGTCTAGCTCTATTGTGCAGCTCTTGTCTGAGTCCAACCGTTGTAGGGTAGGATCTCTCATTCGAAGAATTATCTAGTCTTAGTGATATGTAATAGTATTC